TAAATAAAACTTCATTTCGATTCTTAATATATTGTAATAATACACATATATATTATTATAATAATATATATATATATATAATTGTAATAATATTATATTACAAATAAAAATTTATTTCGATTCTTAATATATTGTAATAATACATATATATTATTACAATAATATATACAACTGTAATAATATACATTACATTGTAATTAATATTGCAATAATATTATATTACAAATAAAACTTGATTTCTCGATTCTTCATATATCGTAACAAGTTTTATTTACACATATATACCTATATACATATATATATCTCTCAATATCCAGGCATTCTTGAAAGAAAAATTACACGTTAAAAAATCGAAAAAACAATTATTTATTAATCACACAGCACGCGAGAATCCCGGCGCACCCTCGACAGAACCTGCTGCCTCGAAAACCTCGAACAAAACCAACGAAAACCGATGGTACATTTCAAATTCGAATTTCCTCGACGAGGAGGAGCAGCGGGGGGATGATTCGTCTATGCGCCGAAAAGCGCATTTGGTTGCGCAGCCGCGGTGCATTGGAATCGAAGCGTCCAACGAACAGTCTACCGGAAACGTCGGCAGGCGTCGCAGCGATCGTCCCTCGGCCGGAGGGGTTGCGATTCCCTTTTTTCCACCCCCGGTTCCGTCGGGGCGGCTCGCTGGAGGGGCGGGTATGGCCCGTGGTTGTCACGACGGAGTCGTATCAGTGTGAGGCCGGCTATCAGCCGCCTAACATCGAGGTCGGGGTTACGCTTGTTCACGTAACACGACTACCGCAGACACCCACACATTCTCCGTGCACCCACTCGGCGCTCACGCGTACACACGTATACACTCGTACACACGTATACACTCGTACACACATATACATAAATACACAGATACACGAATACACAGACGAAATAGACACACTCGGCAACACGCAAACAATCGAACGCGGTCCTCACGTACACGCACACACACATTCGCGACGGACGTGCCACGGATTCTCGCGGATTCTATCCTTATTTCTCCTCTCTTTCGCTTGCGCTCTCTCTCTCTCTCGCTCTCTCTCTTGCTCTCTCTCTCTCTGTCTCTAACTTCTCTCTCGCTCTCTGTCATCCTGCGTGACGGCGAGAGGAGAGCGCGGTGGCATCTGTCGGACTCGATCACGCGGGGAATCCTTTCTGGGCATCGACGGGCGGCCAGCCTTTGCTCCATGCAGTATGCGTCGTAATCGATAAGGACGAGAGAGAGAGAGAGAGCGAGAGCGAGAGACAGAAAGACAGAGAGAGAGGGGGACGCGTGTACACGGGATCATCTCGAAGGAAACCGTCGCGCCCTTCCAGCACGTCGAAATGAATGAAAGCCGCGAGAGATTCCGCGGGTCTCGCTGATAGACGACGGGGGGACGGAGATAGGAAAGGGGCAGTGTGTGCGTGGCCCTGTGCGTGCGAGCAGATTGGGCGAGGTGAACGAGTGAGCGTCTGTCCGTGCGCTGCGTCCGTGAGCGCGCGAGAGCAAGCGAGAGAGAGCAAGCAAAAGCGAGAGAGAGAGCGAGAAATCGAGAAAGCGAGAGAGAGAGAGAGAGATTGAAAGAGAGAGAGCGATAGAAAAAGGAGAGCCCAAGGGAAAGAAAGTCGTGGCTCCGTGGGTGGACGAAGCCGCGGAGGATCGTGCGCGGCGTGCGTCCGCGATGAAACGCTAGAAAAGCCTAGTCGTCTGCCGCAGCTGATGAACGGGTCGCAATCATCGTTCACGATCCGGCCGCAGGAACTCTAGACACTGTGTCGAGCGCACCGGGTCCCAAGGCGAGCGGTACATGCTATATCGGGAGTGCTAGTTGACTAGGGAAGGGGCTGTGGTGTCGTTCGTGGATCAAGACGAGGACTCTAGGAAGCGCGGCGGGCCCCCTCGCGGCGGCCTTCCTCGGTCCCATTCTTTCCGGAGAACGCGACCCGCTCCTCGAAGAGCGTCGGGACGCATCGGCAGTGAGTGCGCCGGCATCGGGCAGCGATTAAGCAGCCGCGGCGAGTTGGCTTCGACGGCTGGTCGGGATTCGCCGTAGAGAAAGAGCGCGGCGGGACACACGGTACATAGAAAGCGAAAGAGAGAGAAAGAGAGAGACAGATAGAAAGAGGTAAATAGATAAAGAGAGACATACAAAAAGAGAGAGACGTATAAAGAGCGAGTCGGAGAGGGAGAGAGAGAGAGAGGGAAGCGCGCGCGCGGCCGAAGAACAACTCGCCCACGTCCGTCGGAGCGCGACGGGCCACAGGGTGGCGAATCGGCGCGTGCGGGGGCAGAGGGTCGACGCAGGATAAGCGGAAAATCAGATGTCCTTAGTCCGGCGGTTCGCAGCACGCCGGATATGTCGTTAGCGTGGGAGGAAGCAGGAGCCTCGAGCAGCGAGACCGCTCGAACGGATTGACTCGGCTCGGTGTCGTTCGAACATCGCCGTCGTCGTCGTCGCCGTCGTCGTCGTCGTTGTCCGCGCGGATCCTCGGGGAGCCAGGGCGGGAGAGGCGGGAGCACAGGAAAGAGGCGTCGATGGGTCTGCGAGGGAGACTCGGCCCCGTCGAAGCGTGCCGCGAACGAGTGACGGGGTTAGGCCTCCACCGACGATCAGACCAATGATTTCCGATCGACCCGGTGGTGGCATGGCAGCAGCGGTATCGTGACTATCGCGCCACCGAGGAGCCGTTATCGCGCGCAGAGCCTGCCATGCCGTCGGGCTGCCGTCGGAGACGCTCGTCGACGTCCAGTGACGACGACACCTAGCCAGCGAGACGGAAAGCGCGCGCGAGATCGGAGAGCAACGGAGAGACTGAGAGAGACGGAGAGACGGAGGAAGAGAGAAAAAGAGACGCAGAGAGAGAGAGACAGAGAGGGAGAGAGAGAGAGGGGTCGAAAGAAAGACGTGCCATTTTCGCAAAGGCCGCGCGCACGAGTGAAAAGCGATCCGAATCTCTCGCTCGAGGATGCTCGATGGTTGCGCGACGGAGGGGGTGGAACGCGCACGGTGATCAACAGTGACGTGTGAAATAAAAGACAGAGCGTATTGAGTGGCAAGAGAGAGAGAGAGAGAGAGAGAGAGAGAGAGAGAGAGAGAGAGAGAGCGAAAGACCGAGAGAGAACAAGAGAGACAGAGCGCGAGAGAGAGAGCGCGAGAGAGGGAGGCACAGAGAGCGGCGCCCGGAGAGGGGATGAGGGAGGATGGCAGCTGGATACTCGCGCGTGTACCAGCCGAACGTGGAAGATCGCGTCGTCGTCGCCGCGACGGAACGGCAGCAGGGACACGGGAATAGGCGCGCGACAGGACTCCTCGACGCGTCCCGCTCCTGAAAACCAGAGAAAGAGAGAGAGAGAGGTTCAAACAACGAGAGTGCGAACACCGCTCCGGGATTCTCGTTTCTTACACGTCCTCGGCAGCGAGCGCCGGCCAGAGAGAAGAGGATTCGGCACCATCGGCCGTCGGCCCGTCGCACGTGCGCATTGATGGCCGATAGTGAAACTCCTTCCAGCTAGAGATACAAAGCCGAATCCGTCGAATCCGCGAGAGTCCGCCGAGTTTTCTGTTCTCGGGGGGCAGCTGCGTGCGAAGAACAGGTGAAAAACGGGGCGCGCCAGGCGTCTGGGGGACCAGCGCGCCGACAGGGGGGACCGGAAACGGGGGGACCACGCGTCCGCAGTTCGAACGTCCGTCCGTCCGTCCCAGAGCGAGGACTACGAGGGTCCCCGTCGGTCCCTCGATGGAACGCTGAGGCGCCGAGCCTCGTCGGCCGAGCGCGTTTCTACGCGGCTGTTCTCTGACGCGAGGAGAGGAATCGGCGATTAGTCGTACCAATCGTGTGCTGTCTCGACAATAGAGAAAGAAGGAGAGAGAAAGACAGAGAGAGAGAGAGAGAGAGTAAGAGAGAGACAGAGAGAGATCGAAGGACGAGATAGTGGGGGTAATATGCCTGGTATACGAGAACGGTGCGATCGTTTCGGGCGAGCAACAGCAGCACATGCTACGGAGATCCGTATCAATTCGCGACTGTGATTTCTAAGCTTAAGGTTTAAACAATTAATTCATGCAAGAAGAGGACCCTCGCCGAGTTAAGGGTCGGAGAGAGGAGGCGGAGGAGGAGGACGAGCCGGGACGAGCGCGATCCGATGACGCGGATGATCATCACGCGGCGTACGACGACGGTGTGCGAGAACCCGCGGTATAGAGAAGAGTTTCACGCCGTGATCCCGTAAAAAAAGGATAAAGAAATCGTCCCATTGTGATACTAAGATTATTATTTAACGCGAGAAGGATCGCGAGAGGTCGACAGTGAGAACACGTGCGCTCCGCTCGAGGAGATATGGGTGTGAATGAAAGGGGGCGCGACGACGACGTACATACAACGCGCGGTGTGCTCGGATGAAATGCGAGTGTAATTTAATGGGAAAAACGATGGTCGATCGCGGGGCATGCGTCCGATCTACGAACTGTGATACATACGCCGATATGACGGTGAATCGTCCGATCGAGCATCACTGACGGTCGACGAACGCGCGGCGGCACCAAAGAGGGTGTCCGAGATCCAGGGGAACGCGCGAATCCGGATGGCTCCGGATCACGTTCGAGGACGCCTCGTGATACCTTTCCAGGTGGGTCGATGATCAATAATCGCCGTCCCGCGTCGCCGGTGAATTAGGCTCGAAACGGTTTTCTCTTTCTTCCGACAGAATTTCTTTCGCGATTTCCGAACGGACGAGCCGCAGCTTGTCGCGCGCTTCTTTCGCTTCCGCGACCATGATTTTCTGATGCTGCAATCACCGATCGATGCACGGTGTTTTGTAACCATGACGGCGAGATTTTGTAGTCGTTCGAACTCATTGCGTTCGTTAATAAAAGATAATCGAATTCGGAAATTCGTTGGAACGTCGCGGAGAGTGCGCAAGGATTTATATTAAGTATAGCAGGTTTTGCTTAATTTTGTTCTTCAGCTTGTGAACAAAAATGGGCAGGCTTGTAGCTTGTTTTTGTGATTGTTGAGGATCGGCAACTATGAAAATGAGCCGCATGACAATATTTTTATTGTCGTTTGACCAATTTTAGGCATCTCGATAGATAGGCTTTCTGGTTAGATGCTACTAGCTTTTGTCTTTGTAATTGTTAATTAATACGTATCTTTACGTAAATAAGTTAAGAAATCTCGTCACTTTTTATCGCATTTTATTCTAAACTGCTGAAAATCTCAGTTTTCTTTCTTCGATTTTTGAGATTTGATAGCCTTGATGCGACCGGCTCAAAATATATATTTAAGATAACTATATAAATGATTAATTATATAATATAAATATATATATTAATAATTATAAAAAGATTATATAAATTTATTTGCACAAGATACATGTCAAAACTAAAAACAAAGAACGAAAGAAGACGCGATTCGGAATTATGATCAACGAATCATTTCGGTGGCGAAATTATGAACGGAAAGCGCGTTATTTTGCAGCGAAAGCAGTCTCTGGCGACAAAACCGAAAAAAAAACGATTACTATTCGACGAGATTTCCCAAAAGCTTGTTAAAGCAAAGGCCATTCAATTACGCGTACACCGGGGTCCCAAAGAAGCGCCGTTTATTATTCGCAGTTCTATGGGAAATCACTCGCGATACACTGTTGTCCCTGTAATAAAATAATATTCGCCGAAATTCGTTCATTCGTTAATGGCGGTCCTGGGCGTTTTCGAATCGCAACGTGCTCCTAACTTTTTGGCACATGTTTACCCGTGATTAATGGACTGCGGTACTCGATGCAAATGCTTGTTTTTTCTTCGCAGAAGAATTCGGAGAAAGGAGGATCGGATAAAATTTGGTTCGTTTCATTGTTCGATTTCGGGGTAAATCAGAAACGAAGTGGAACTGCGTTTCGGCAGAAAAAAAAGAAAAATGCGCGTTGCGCAAGCTTTTGAATAATTTTTATACCGCGTGAACGCATAATGATCCGTTGGTTCGGCGTTCGTCCTACGGTCGGGTCCACACGGACCCACGATCTTATGTGTGCAAATAATTTGAACTATTTTGTTGCAGTTAGCTTCATTATTACTATTATTATTATTAATATTGCTATTATTACTGTTACTATTATTATTACTATTATTATTATTAATATTGCTATTATTACTGTTACTATTATTATTACTGTTACTATTATTATTACTATTATTATTAATATTACTATTATTACTATTACTATTATTATTATTATTAATATTACTATTATTATTACTATTATTACTATTACTATTATTATTACTATTACTATTATTATTACTATTATTATTATTAATATTACTATTAATATTATATATTAATATATTATTAATATTACTATTAATATTACTATTAATATTACTATTACTATTACTATTACTATTCCATTACAATTTCTACTATTATTATTATTATTATTAATATTACTATTATTACTATTACTATTACTATTCCATTACAATTTCTACTATTATTATTATTATTATTAATATTACTATTAAATACTATTACATTTCATTTTAAAGTCACACGTTCTATTTTCGTAAACTGCAACAATTCTCGTGAACAACAACAATTTTCCTTTACACAGTCGCTGCACTTTCCTCCGTTCGATCGACAACATTCGCGAGAAATTGTAAAGCAAATATTTCCCGATTTCAATGCCCCGACAACGTCATTATTTTATTTTACATTCAATTATCCGGTCCACGCGTCTCTCTTTGCACTCTAAATTGACAGGATTCTTCGGAAAATGACAAAACAAAAAAATTGATATTTTGTTACACGTTTCGTTGCTCTGTAAATTGAAAATGTTCCCGTCCTCATTTGTTGCGAATGTAAAATCGATATTTAATACGATATTGGTACGGAGTTAGCATAGGTGGATTAACAATGAATATGTTGGAAACTCGTACACGTAAATCAAATTCGCAGTTCATGGGTCTGAATATCCTGGTTAATTGAAAACAACTGTATTGTTTAAATATCGGGAATTTCTTCGTTGTGAATTATTACCTAATGTTGAAACCGTTAGGTCTTCCTAAAATTTCTGGAATAATATTTGTATTTGGATAATTTGGGAAAGTTGCAAGATGCGCCAAAATTTAAAAATTAGCAGCACAGTAGCGAAAAAAGGCGCAGAGAAAATAATCAATTATGATCATTAATATTTTAGCACTGAGAAGGTAACAATAGTTTACAAAAATTTTAATGATTTTCTCGCTAGGTTATTTCAGTAATTAATATTATGAGATATTTGTCATATTGTTTTTATATTGTCATATAAAATTGAATGAACATTGAAAATATTTTGCTATATCTATTTCTTAAATCTAGCCGAATTGGCTGACCTCTGCAACCCTTGTGAATTTGCAACCTTCGTTGAGCAGAAATATTTATTATTTATAATAAAAAGTGAAGTTGACTTTGAGATTTGTGCTAAATAAAAAGTGATCAAGAAGCTTTTGCCAAATACTGTATCGTTAAGAACAGTTTAACGTAATTGCATAATATTTTGAAACTGTTAGTTCCAACATCGAGGAATATTAATACTAAATGCATAAAATTATCCGATTCCCGGTGATCCGCTTGTTTTTCGCACGAAAATGCGCCAGATCAGAAATTGAATATGAAATTAAAATGCGAGGGCGTTGTTTAATTCATTTGATCGAATTTAGTAAGTATTGATTGCAAGTATTAACGACCTTTACGGGCTTTTAAAAACATTAAATCAGACTTAATATTCAGATGATCGGGGAAATTTTAATAACTCGTTTCGTGCAGAGCTTGCTTCGGAATTATCGGCTTCTAAAAACTATGTTACGTTTAACCCTTTACATTCGGATGTCGCCGATACGGCGTCGCAATGTGTTTATGTCAAAATATGGCATCCTTTTTTAGTTATTATTTTTCTTCGTACTGTAAGGTAATCGCGTATAATGCATAATTAATTAATTAACTTATTAATTTTATTTATCAGTTCCTATATAAAATTTTTGGAGCAGCACAATGACTTTTCTTTCAATTCGACTCGATTTGAAATTATTTTCGAATTATCTTCATCGTGTTTCCTCAGTTGATTTTTCAATTGTTAATTAACAAATGTAGCGCATTATGACTTTTCTTTCAATTCGACTCGATTTGAAATTATTTTCGAATTATTTTCATCGTGTTTCCCGAGTTGTTTTTTCAGTTGTTAATTAACAAATGTAGCGCATTATGACTTTTCTTTCAATTCGACTCGATTTGAAGTTATTTTCGAATTATTTTCATCGTGTTTCCCGAGTTGTTTTTTCAGTTGTTAATTAACAAATGTAGCGCATTATGACTTTTCTTTCAATTCGACTCGATTTGAAGTTATTTTCGAATTATCTTCATCGTGTTTCCTGAGTTGATTTTTCAGTTGTTAATTAACAAATGTAGCGCATTATGACTTTTCTTTCAATTCGACTCGATTTGAAGTTATTTTCGAATTATCTTCATCGTGTTTCCTGAGTTGATTTTTCAGTTGTTAATTAACAAATGTAGCGCATTAGGTAACGCGTTAACATTCAACGTCGTATATTATTCAGTTACATTTATTCGAGGCTCCCGACGACGAAAGTCCGCGAAAGTCCGTCGAATCGACGAGCGTCGTTCCTTCGAAGATTCGTGAAATTTATTTTGGCACTGACGGATTTTTATCGGCGGGTCGTTCCGAACCACGTGGGACGAGATAAATCGGGATCAAGTTTTTTTTTTCAGCGGGGGATTTTTTGTTTCGAGAAAAATGTCTTATTTCGTCGAGCAAGTGGCACGAAAAGATATAGCGCTCTTTGAAAATACAGACGCGTCTGTGTAGCGTGGGAAGCATGTGACGACAATGCTACGTTCGATGCGTCCGCGCAGCGTTTCGAAATTGTGCGAACACTTTGTTGCAATTTGAATCTGCGAAAATTTGAAATATTTAATATTGAGATTGGACTTATTAGATGGAAGAACTGATTATCGGATTTCGAATTTCATTTATTCATTAAAAAAAAAGATGAGTAGCTGAAAAAGATAGTAGAAAAATTAAAAGATTCTTCTTTTTTAATTTTGCAATAGTCGCAGAATAATGTTTTATTTACGTTACTATTTAAACAGCTTGTGCAAGCCAATAACAGTCTGATTATTAATATAATTATCATTAAATTATTATCATTCAATTTAATTGCAATTAAATCATTATCATTCATTTTCACTGTAATTAAATTACTGTCATTCAATTTAACTGTAATCGAATTATTATCATTCGATTTAATCGTAATTGAATTATTATCATTCGATTTAATCGTAATTAAATTATTATCATTCGATTTAATTGTAATTAAATTATTATTCTTCAATTTAATCGTAATTAAATTATTATCATTCGATTTAATCGTAATTAAATTATTATTCTTCAATTTAATTATAATTAAGTATCATTATAGATTTACAAATTTAAGAAACCAAAGAATTGAACAATAAAAACATTGGCAAACAATGTTTCATTTTTCACGGCCAGAAGACCGTTTCAAGACACTTCCGAGTGCACTCGTCCGAGTTTTCGAAGCCGTTCTCAACGAAAACGAAACTTCGTACGCGGGG